CCCCCCCCCAACATCTACAATCTTAAGCCCTCAGTGCTATTCCCAGAAATTTTATTCCACCCAACGTGCCGTTACCCACCCCAGCCCAAAATTACGGGAAAGGCCTCCTACGTCGCTTCCCCCTAACCATCAGTACTCCTTGCCATCTACGTGCAGAATCGATATATATGTCATATATATTGTCACACTGTGGATCGGAGCGCAATGGCGAAAAAATGCGCAAGGACAGAAAAAGACAAAACAAAAAAAGGAAAGAAGGAAGGAAAGCTCCGCCTGTTCATCACCTCTTACGTACAAGGCCAGCCACGTGGATGACAGGTTGAGCGCTGGCTGCCCCCATCCATCCCTGTGTGTCACAAGGACCCACTTGCACGCAGCCAAAAGGCAAAAAAGAGATAAAGAAACGGAGGAGGAAACCAAACCTGACAGGGAAAGAAAGATAATGCAATTGTCACAAAGCAAATAACACATCGCACAGATCAACATATTTTTTCTTTTTTCTTTTTTTCTTTTTTTCTTATTTTCTCTTTTTTTTCTTTTATTCTCTTTTCTCTTTTTCTTTTTTTTTCTTTTTCTTTTTCTTTACCTGTCCCCACCTCGGCAGATAGGACAGCTACAGTGAGGATGATGTGGATGTTCACAAGGATACGCAAGGAGAGCTTCGCCAGCACAATATTCAGCAGGACGGCTGGCACGAACCATCCCATCAAAACAGTCCTGACAGAGGACATGTTGTCCACATGTAAAAAAAACAGCAGGACGTTCATCACAGTGCGGCATCATACAGTTCTGATAGCGTCCTTGGGCACAAAAGGCACAACGTATATCTGGGTGAGAGCTCTCTGCTTTTGTATCTGGGTGATAGCTCTCTGCTTTTGTAGATGATGCGGCGAGTGTCGGGCCTGTACTAGCAGGCTCTTCTTTGGTTATGGTAGAAAATGTTTTCTTGATTTTTTTGTTAGTGCATGCAAGAATTCATTTGCATCGAAAATAGCCTGAGTCATCGTCCTGTCATCCCACATTTTCTTGTGTTGCTCTTCCCCTTTGTAGGGGGTATTTCGTTTTGCGGACCTACTGTATGGTTCCGTTTTTTTAACTATGGATGTGGTAGAATTTGTTTTGGTGATCTTTTCTGTATCCCGGTTCGTTTGGTTCCGTTGTTCGGGCTATTTTATGGGCGTGGCGGTGCTTTCACGAGGGACCAGTCATTCGTTTTTTTTTGGCATCCTGGTTGGTTGTTTCCCATTGTTCGGCCTTTTGTGCGTGGGGCGGTGCTTGTATGTGGGAATCGTCATCCGGGATTGTCTTTTCTTCCCTTTTTTTTGACATCCTGGTTGGTCTTGTCCTGTCGTTTGGCCTGTGGTGCAGGGGCGGTGCTTGCATGTGGGACTTGTCATCTGGGATCTGTTTTGTTAGAAAACCATTTCGATTCTTAAAAATAATAATAATAATAATAAATAATAATAATAATAATAAAATCGATTCTTTCTTTGGAGCCTTGTCTGCATCCCGGTTGGTTTTGTCCCGTTGTTCGGCTATTGGTGATGTTGCCTGGTTGATCCTGGTAGCGGTGCTTTCATGTGGGACTAGTCATCCGGGTCCTCCTTTTTTTTGGTATCCTGGTTGGTGTTTCCCGTTGTTCGGCCTAGGTTTGGGGGGGGTGCTTTTGTGTGGGAATCATCATCTGGGATTGTCTTTTATGTTTGTTGCTGTAGCCGCAATAGATTCATTTTTTTTTGCAGATAAGGTGTTTCTTTTTCTTCTTCTTTTTTTTCTTTTTTTTTTTTTAATAAAAAAGGCGACGGTCTTGAGATGTCATCATTGAGCTGGCCAGCCCCAGGCAATTCAGATATATTTGGTTTCATCAGGTTCCATCATCCGGGTTCGAACTCGGGTCTATATTTCAACAGTTCAATGGTGTACCCACTGAGCTAAGGCTCTTGGGTCAGATAAGGTGTTTCTTTGCGTGCATAATTTGTTACACTGTGGATCGGAGCTCCTTTTTTGCGGATAAGGTGTTTCTTTGCTTTTTTCTTTTCTTCGGCGAAGGCTTTATCGTGTTTTGAATCCTCGCTGGATTGTCCAATCGTTTGGCCTGTGATGTGGGGGCCGTGCTTGCATGTGGGACTTGTCATCCAGGATTTGTTTGCCCCCTGTTCTGTAATGTTTGGCTGTTCCCTTCCTCTTTTCTTTGCCACTTTGCCTTTTGGCTGTGTGCAAGTGGGTCGATATGACACATGGGGCCGCTCAACCTGCTTCCACGTGGGCGGCCTTGTACGCAAGAGGTTCTGAACAGGGGGAGTCTTGTGAGGAAGTAGATAAAAAATGAATTGATACCTTTTTTGTTTTCTTTTGTTTTTTTTCGCTTTTGCGCTCTGATATCTATTGTGACGATATATATCGTCACAAACAGAACTGCCCGGTAAACCGTAGGCAGAGAGAGAGAAGAGGACAACAAACGAGGGGCTGTGACAAACTGTTTCGTCGGAGTTTCACCGACTCATATCTC